AAAGATATTTTAAGAACCAAAAGATACATGAATCCATATAAAATGTGTTCTTTTAGAAAAATCTCACACAAAGTGAGTGTTTGTTTTAATGGATCGGTTTGATTTAAACTTATTTATCAAGTGAATGCAAATTGATTTTGATTTTTAATATATGGATCTCAATAGTTTGAATTAAACTGTAATTCAACCAAACTGAACAAAATTACAATTCGGTTAGATCAATTTTACAATTTAATTTTTAAGAGTCAAATCGAAAAATATATAATTGTAATATAAACAAATTTGAGTTGTCAAATTCGAATTTAGAAACCACTGAGTTATCTATGACCCTAGTCAATTGTAATAATAATAAAACTAAATTGTTTAGTTATGACTTTTGAGTTAAATCTACAAAAAATATATTGATGAGACGAGAATATCTCGAGTGAATTAAGTTAAATGTAGAGGTTTGTTTGTTTTTTTTTGCCTTTTTTTGTGGTTTTCTAATTCCTAAAACCGAAATGGATATTTCTGTTTTTGAATAAGTAGAAACCAATCCATTGGTTTTATGTTCGATTTCTATTTTTAGTTTTCTTGCAGTTTTTCAGTTTGCGGTTTGGATTTTGTTCACCTCTAGTTAAACGAATATGAGTTAGGAAACAATATTTTGTAAATATGTTAAGGCTTTTCTTTTTTACTTGGGTCTTGAATCTTGATGCCTTCTTGTGTAATTAAAAAAGCAATTATAATACATTAATACATAATCTATGTACGTATTAAAAACAAATAATTAAGACAATGTTATTTTGTTTAATTTTTTTCTTATTTTAATGATAAAACCAATTTGAAATCTGCATTAATAGTTTGGATTTGGTCTAAACCAATCATAAAATATTAATATCCAGACAATGCAGTTCCATCTAAATTATTCAATTTGACAACCGCTACACTTCTATTTGTTGTTCCATTTCCATTTCTATGTCTGGAACGCACGTCTCTTTTGCTTATTCTAAAGGCCTATCACAGTTTAACTAACTAAGCTACACATTCAGTTTATTCAGATTTGTTGTTCACCAACACCAAAATGATGTAAGCAATGGTGTTGGGTATATTTGACACATTGTTTGGTGTAAAAATTTATGGGTTGGGAATAACCTTAAATAAGTATTAATAGAAAACTTTGTGAAAAATATATGTTTACATAAAGATTATGTTTAGGAAAAACTAGCATGATAAAGCTAGAAAGTTTGTGATTTTTGCAGGTGATATTTGAGGAAATCTTGGGGGCAAGAAAAGTAGTACTTAACAGATCAACAAAACTAAATGTCCTAAGCTATAAGATGGTATTGTAAAACCACAATATGGTGAAAGTAATATTCTTCTGAATTGCTTACTTTTATCAAAATTGATTGCAGTTGGGAAAAATATCTGAGAAACTGAGAACATACGAGAATGATCCAATGGTTAAGCTTGTTGTTCTAAAGGTACTAAAAATAATTTCGGGATTTAAAATATCTACGAAACCTAGAGATGGCAAAATGTCGCATAAGATACGACGGATAACATGTATTCAATTTATGTATGATTAAATTGCTTTTTGAAAGTTCATTGCTTGAATGTAATTTTTATTAAATGCATTTCTATGCAATTTCCCAATGATCAACATGTTAAAGTATTGCAAAAAAACTTGTTACTAAAAGAATAACCTAATTAGTTTTTTTTAACGATGAAATTTTATTGAAAAACCAACAAGACGTTAGAAAATACTCATTACAAAAAAAAATGTCATCTAACCACGACAACATAGTTTTTCTGCACCTATTAGAAATTTAGTAATGTAAGTTGTTTAATAAAGTGATAATGTGATCATTTAGACCCTTTCAACCCATTCAACTGTTTATTTAACAAAAAAGTGTAAGATATTTTTATTATGTAGTACTATTACTTGATGAGTGTTTCATTTTTCAACGCATCATCTTCATGAGCAGGCAAATGGCAAAGTATTTTGTGTTGGTGGTGATCTCGTATCTGCTTCTAAATTTGTAGCTTACGGTAAGGGACGTATATTAATGCTTACGAACGAGAATAAATGCAATTAAGACCATGTCGTTTTATTTTGAAAAAAAGGACATTGGAGTTTCGGAACGAGCTATTATAGGAAAGAATTTTGTTTGGACTACCTACTTGCAACATATAAGAAGCCAATGGTTGCAATTCTAGATGGAAGTGTTATGGGAGGAGGTGTTGGAATATCGATACATTCAACATTTAGAATTGTTACTGAGAATACGGTATTTATCTTCTTCTTTTTTCGGCAGCTACATGTTTTTTTGACAAGTTCGATGTTTATCATGTAAGTTGCGGTTTTTACAACATTGGTGTAGATATTCGCCATGCCCGAAGCATCAATTGGATTGTTTCCTGACGTTGGTGCATCTTATTTTCTATCGCGACTTCCTGGATCTTTTGGTAAACTCATCTGCATGGTACATTGTCATTTACTTATATGCAGGACGAGTGAGGCCCTGTCCCTCTCTAAAGAAGTAGTTAAAAATATCCTTTAAAAATATTTTTAACATGGCATACAAAAAACTTATTTAATAGAACACCATAGATAAATAGTAAAACCTATTGGGTTTATATATGTAAAACAATGGACAGTTTATTTTATGATTTGTTCCACTACCATAAACGAGCATGAATGATCAAGGGTATGTGTGTAGGAGAATATATTGGATTAACGGGTGCTCGATTAGATGGAGCAGAGATGGTTGCCATGGGGCTTGCAACTCATTTTGTCCCATCTCAGGTACTCATCTCTCTTAAATGTGTTCAATGACATTTTTATACAAATGGGCACACTTAATTAACACAAATATGTTCTTGATTATTACATATACTTACCAATTCTTGCAGAATATACAAGCAATGGAGAAGGCTCTCGAAAAAATGGTTGCTTCATCAGATGCAACAAGTGTAACAACAATGTCCATGATTATTAACAAGTTTGCACAAGAAGTAAAGGTCAAGCCAGAGAGTGTTATTACTAGGTACACAAATATTTCTTCATCAAAATGTGCCAATTGGGACCAATTGGGACTAATTTACTTAATATTTATGGATTTTGATTATGCTATACATGGATAAATGCAAGAGATATATAACAACCTATTTTTATTTTATTTATTTCTTGTAATAATTTAATTTAATATATTTTTAATTACAATATATTAGTTTTCAACATTATTTCTGTAAAAACATTGAAATATGAAAGTTTGCCAAATTATAGGGCTTATTCTCATTTTTTATTAAAACATGTATTTAAAAATTTTACTCATGTATAACAGTGAATGCAACTTCGCTTATTGATTATATTGTTATAATTGGGTCGATATTTGGAAGTATAATCTTATTATCCGAATAAATGAAAAAACATGTTATATATAATAACAATTAAATGAAAGAACTTTGTCAATATTACATTTAACCATTATTTTGTGCTAAGGTGTCAAATGGGTATATAAAATTATCAGCTAAAAGAAACTTGATCACATGGGTAAATGAATAAAAAGTAATGAATAAAAATTGGGAAATTGACTTATCAGTGTAATTACATTTTTTATTTGTTTAAATCTTGGTAATTTCGTTTTTTTTATAAACATCTAAATAACGAACTTGTTGGATGTGTTTACATGTGACCATTGTGACCGGATGTAGCAAGCTACAGCCAGTCATAATGATCATATGTGAACATTTCTGACAAGTTCGTTATCTAAATATGTATAAAAAAAGTCACCTAAATATGAACAAAACCAAAAACTAATTAACCTCATAATTCATTTTTCCTTCTTTTTTATTTACCTTCTAATTTTGATTTGGTATAAAATTTAACCTAAATGATTAACATATTTACAACCACACCATTTTGGTACATATCTTTTTAAAATACACTCCTTTGATAAAAAAACAAAAAAAAAAACAAAACAAAAAAGAAAAAAAAAAACCTCTAGATTTGACAGGAAAAAAACACGTCATCCTTTTATAAAATTTTACTCTTTAAGATAATAAATATAAAAATTAAATTTTACTAAAGACTAAAAGTACAAGAGATCGAGACCAATAACATAAAATAGAATATCATCTTCAATGAAGTTTGCTCCATGTATTACAGAAAATTAAAATATAAAAAATAGAAGCAACTTTTATCTACATCGATATCATTGCTCATGTCTTATATATATAGAGCTATTTAATAATTATGCTACCAAAACAACTCTACATGTGAGCTATTTAATAATTATATCGACAATCTTAATAAAAAGGGAAATTAGGGTAATTAGTTTTTCATTTTGTTCACATATGAGTAACTTTTTTATTTTATTTTATACATATCTATGTAACAAATTTTTTGGAAGTGTTCACATATGACCATTATACATATGTGAACACTTCCAAAAAAGTTGTTACTTAGATGTGTATAAAAAAGAAGTTTTTCAGATGTGTAATTACCCTGATAAGTCAATTCCCCTAAAAAGTTGAATATTCAAATGTTGTCAACTTTATTTTTATAAAAAGAATATTACATTTACAATATAAATTTCATAATCGCATTTAATATATTAAATGTTTATAAAATTTAACAAAGTAGAGAAAATGTTTGGATAACTTAACAAAACATGAACCTGTCATTATGTTTTGATTAACATAAAAAGAGAAAAACTACAATAAATTCCCTACATATTGGCTTCATAATCGATTTAGTCTCTATATATATTTTTTATTCAATTAGTCCCAAATACCGGTAATCGTATTCAATTTAACCCTTTGACCCGGTCAACAGGTTATCCAACTTTCAAAAATTACATTTTTGGCCCAGATTTCAAAATTTATTACAAATTTGGTCCAAAATTTACACTTTTGGCCCAGATTTTAATTTTTGTTACAAATTTGATCCAAACTTTACCCTTTTTGCCTAAATTTTAGAATTTTATTAGGGTAAATAGCATAAAAACACTCCGTTTACACCAAAATTCTAATTTGACACCGTGTTTTTTTTTTCTCAAATTTGACACTGTGTTTTCCAATTTGTTACAATTCTGACCACTTGACCGGTTAACCATGTTACATGCTGACGTGGCATGATGACGTGTCAGTTTTGATGATGTGGCATGCTGACATGATATGCTGACGTGTCAAAATTGAATTTTTTTTTCCACAAAAAACAGTAAGTTTTCACTTTTTTTTGGTTTTGACACTAAGTTTAACTTTTTCTTTCAATTTTGACACTATGTTTTTTTGTTCCAAATCGAACATCATTTTTTCCAATTTTGTTCAATTTTGACCATTTTCCATTTGAAACCGAATAAATATATATTTTTATTACATTTTAAACCGTATAAATATATTTTTTTTGTTTAAAAACCATATTTTTATTTAAATACAAGGTGTTTCTTTTGTTTTGTTTTGTTTTGTTTTGTTTTTTTTTTTTTTACATTCAAAGTATAATGTATAAATATGCATTAGTTATATCATGAGAAACAAACTAACCATAAGCTTCTAATAAGATGTGAAAAATGGTCGAAATTGAACAAAAATCGATAAATGATGTTCGATTTGGAACAAAAAAACATAGTGTCAAAATTGAAAGAAAAAATTAAACTTAGTGTCAAAATCGAAAAAAAGTGAAAACTTACTGTTTTTTGTGGAAAAAATTCAATTTTGACACGTCACCATATCATGTCAGCATGCCACATCATCAAAACTGACACGTCATCATGCCACATCAGCATGTAACCTGGTTAACCGGTCAAGTGGTCAGAATTGTAACAAATTGGAAAACACAGTGTCAAATTTGAGACAAAAAAAATCACAGTGTCAAATTAGAATTTTAGTGTAAACGGAGTGTTTTTTATGTTATTTACCCATTTTATTATGAATTTATCATAACTTTAGTTTTCTTTTTATAACTTTTTTTCTCAAAGAATTGTTTCTAATATGTTTTTTATTTATAAAATCATATTTATACAAAAAAAAAAACGTATATTCACATAAAAATATTATATTTTCTATATAAAAACTTTTTGTAAAAAGTTTTTTGTATATGAAATATCTAGTTATAAAAATAGGTATTTATT